TGCATTCCAGCATGTGTGACAAAGCAAGACTACATCTCAAAAAATAATAATAATTAAAAATATATATAACTTTCAGAGCCAGAGTTTAAAAAATCCAATTCCTGGTTTTTTCATCAAACATTTAGATCAGGCTGTATCTTAACCTTCGCATTGATAAGTGCCTTTTGAGAGCAGGGTACACAATTTCTAAAAACCTCATCCAAGAAATCTTCTTCTCTTAAAAGACAAATCCGGGACACAGTCAACTGGATTTTCAGTGAACAAATGTTGGTTTACTACATCAATATTTTCCGGGATGCTTTTTGGCCACATGGGAAGTTGGCACCACCGACCACAATCAGAAGCGAAGAGCAAAGTCAGGAAACAAAACAGAGAGCGCAGCAAAAGCTGCTTGAAAACATTCCAGGTGAGGCCTGGGCTGTTACAGATCATGAGGGAATGTGAACCCCATTGAGGTGATTTTCATTTATGTCTTGCAGGAACCGTTTTTTACAATGAAAAAAAAAAAAGGATCATACTCTTTTAAGCCATTTTTTGTCACTTGCTAAGAAGTTATACTGAGAATGTTAACTTGAAAAATGTTTTAGAACAGATAATAAACTTTGTGTTTTGGAAATCCTGCTAAAGTATAGTGTTTTGAGAGCTTCATTTTTAGCAAAATATTAACATTTTAATTATTACAATTAGTAGTTGCAACATATTAAAACTGTAATTTGTATAAATGCCTTATGTTGAAAAATCCTCTCCTGAAGCATTTGCGAGAACTGACCATTCATGTTTCTCATGCCTCCATGTCTTTATTGACTGAATGTGTATAATGTTATATTCCTTTCACCGCAAAGCTATGCACTGAGCACTTTATCAATAGCAGCATAGAATATAAACTTAATTTTTCAGATACGCTTCAGAGCCTTGTTGGACAGCAAAATGCCCGCCATGGCATAATAAAAATATTCAATGCACTGCAAGAAGCAAGAGCCAACAAGCATCTGTTATACGTGAGTAAATTAAAGCCCGGGGGTTTTCTACTTCATTTTTGTCTGTTTCTTCATTTAGTTAGAAAAAGCATGGACCCCAGTGACTGCACGCTTGCATTCTCACAGACTAGTCATTTCCCTTGACTTTTTTTTTTTTTTTGAAACAGAGTTTCGCTCTTGTCCCCCAGGCTCGGGTGCAGTGGCGTGATCTCGGCTCACTGCAACCTCTGCCTCCTGGGTTCAAGCAATTCTCCTGCCTCAGCCTCCCGAGTAGCTGGGACTACAGGCGTGCACCACCACGCCCGGCTAATTTTTGTATTTTTAGTAGAGACAGGGTTTCGCCATGTTGGCCGGGATGGTCGCTAACTCCTGACCTCAGGTGATCTGTCTGCCTCGGCCTCCCAAAGTACTGGGATTACAGGCAGGAGCCACCGTGCCCATCCTCCCTTGACTTTTGATATAACATTGCCGCCTAACTGGTTGGTTTTCTTATTTCAGCAAAGCCAACTGTTTCCCAGTCATCTCTCTGATTATAGTTACCAATATTAAATACTGTTTGAGAGTCACTTGTTTACTGAGATTATTTCAGACCTAAAATTACACTTTTCTCTTAGACGCAGATATTTATTTTGAATAAACCCTTGGAGAAAAACATTTTTCTACTTTTTTCCTTCTTTCTTGGTTCAGGTGCTGATGGAACTGCTGCTAATTGAACTGTGTCCTGAGCTGAGAACTCATTTAGATCAACTTAAAGCTGGCCAAGTTTGAGACTGCACAAATAAACCACCAGAAAAATGTCTGTGTAATAATAGACATGAAACATTTTCCTCTTTTCCACAGAGGGCTTGACTGAGAACCATACTGATTTTTATTTTAGTTACCTCCCTCTAGTTTTATGTGAAATAAGCAGAATCGGGGAGGATGGGACTTAGGCTGTGGTAGGCAACAGAAAAAAACTTCTACTGATTTTTATTTAATATAAATACTTTAAAGATCAACATACTGATTGAAATACAGATGTTAATATGTGAGAACCTAGGAAGTATTTTAAATATTTATGAAAATATTTTGTTTTAAAATGAACTATGAATATTGTACAGTTAATTTCCTCACTGAGGATTGTGAACTTTCTTATATTATTTCATGTATATTGAAGAACATTGTTGTGCAATGCTTTGTGTAAAGTTATTGTGAAGATTTTATTGTCTTTATTTTTACCAAAGATTTCCCATAGTTTTAGCATTCGAAGCAATAAAATATAAAAATGAATCACAGCGCTCTATGATATTTAAGATACTTATATCTCAAAGAGGTTGAAACTCTACAGGCAGTTCAAATATTTATTGAATGCCTTTTTAGAGAAAACGCTATGCACTTAACTACTTCTGCAGGGAAGCAAAAGTTTGCTGCCTTCTCCAGAAACAAAATAAATCTGTGAAAATATATGATTTTTAGTGAGCAGAAAGAGCCAGATTAGTGCTTGAAGTGAGGCATTAGGGAGGAGAGATGGGAGCTGACCCTCGGAGTATGGGCAGGCGGAGATGGGGGAGCGGAAGGAGGAAGGCAGCTACTTCAGGGGCTCGGTTGTATCATCGAGCCTTTTAGACCACAAGGGCATTAGGAGAGATCCAGAGGACAGACTTCCTGTTACTGATAGTGGGACCATGGACAAGTACTTCATTTTCCTGGGTTTCACCATCTATTATGTGACAACAACGTTCTTTCCCCTCTCTAATCCCCAAGAATATTGAAAACAACACAAACAAGTAAAAGGTAAAAATTCAGTTTGAATCCCTGAAAGATACTCCCCTAATGCCCCAGTATGTAACCTGTGCCAGTTTATATACGTATAATATATGTATCATACCTGCCAACTTCTTGATAAGAAACAAGTTCTGAAAGATAAATGATTAAAAATTAGTAAACCAAATGTTATCCTTAAGACTTTTTTCATTATAGCTTTTTTATCCTTTTTTCAGACCGTGATATTTGACACTTAAAAAAATACCCGAAGTTGGCTATTGATAAAAATTATCCTTCAAAAGACTATATAGAAAAAAACAGATAAAATACATTCAAGGAAGAGAGGCAAGGTGAAGTTGTCAAGCCCAGAGAACTTACCATAATATGATTATTGGAAATGTCCATTTTAGGCATAATTCTATGCTATCATTTAAACTGTAGCTGTTAAGTTTATATTGCAAATGAGAAAGATCACCATTATTTTGTCTCTATATTTATTTATGATAAATTGTCATTTTTCCATGAGATATCAGCTATAAGGAATCTTAGAGAAGGAGTGTGTGTGTGTGTGTAAGAGTCATGATCTGGAAGCCTCAGATCGAGTTACAGACTCACCGCACTCGCAGGTCAAGGGGTTTACTATTGTCCTCAGCCGTGGTAGTTTGCATGGGCTCACTTGTGCCAGAGCATCAGCTTTATGGTAACTACGGTAAACTGAAATTTTACATTCTGCATTGGATTTATGGAAGACATTTGAGCACAGCATGTTACCACATATGGCACACGTCGAAGTGTATGATTTCTGAAACCCATCTTTTAATGGCAGTTTAAAAAGTGCTCTTTAGTTAGGGTCGATCTTTTATTATGTTCCTATTTTAAGATTCTTTTTTTTTTTTTTCTGGAGACGGAATTTCGCTCTTGTTGCCCAGGCTGGAGTGAAATTGCACGATCTCAGCTCACTGCAAGCTCCGCCTCCCGGTTTCAAGCCATTCTCCTGCCTCAGCCTCCGGAGTAGCTGGGACTACACGCCCAGCTAATTTTTGTATTTTCAGTAGAGGTGGGGCTTCACCACGTTGGCCAGGCTCGTCTCGATCCCCTGACCTCAGGTGATCTGCCCGCCTCGGCCTCCCAAAGTGCTGGGATTACAGGCGTGAGCCACCGTGCCCGACCCTAAAGATTCTCGGGAGGCTGAGGCAGGAGAATGGCGTGAACCCGGGAGGCGGAGCTTGCAGTGAGCCAAGATCGTGCCACTGCACCCCAGCCTGGGTGACAGACTCCGTCTCAAAAAAAAAAAAAAAAGAATCTTTAGGAACTGGATTAAGTGTGGAGAAGAGAATACTGGTTGGGAATTTGGATCTTCAAGTGGTTGAAGGAATGTTACATGGATGGTATTAAGAGATTTGAGACAGAAATACATGACAATTTGATATATCTCAAAGCTGAGTCTGTTGAAATTTCTTCCCTTACGCAAAGACAAAATGAAGTTTCAAGCAAAAATACAGACAAGCCAGAACATAAAACTAGAGCAAATACTTTTCTGCCATTCAACAGTTTAGTGACTATCACCTCCATATTAACTGCATTTTCCCATGACGAAAAAGAAATCTTGTTTAAATCCACTGTCAGGATGGTTGTGATTTATAAAATAAAGCCATATCATTTAATATGTTTATTTAAAAAGGGATAGTTAAGGTATTTCTGAGACCTGTCTTCGATATGTATATTTGTTTCACAAATGAATAGCCTTGTACAGTCTTAAGCATATGGATCTTACTGTTTTTACTGTTACCTTTTGCCTTCATAGATGTCATCTATATAAGGAAAGCCTTTTGCTAATGTAACAGTATTTAGTTGTAGTTCTTGTAGATGATTTCATTCAGGTTTTTACCACAGGGTTTTAAAAATGTAGAAAATGAGCTGAAGCACAAAGAAACAATTTGCTTTAACTTTCTTATATTTTCAAATAGCAATTGCTTTTTGTTTTATTACACATTCTGCGTATGTATATAGCAGTTGTTTTACTCATTACATTAAGATCTTTGAGGGAAGATTTGGAGGGGCAAGATTCCAAAGCAGTGTCTTATAACCCACTTTTTTGAAGTTTATATGTAATAAATTAGCCAATTATTTATGAGCTTTTTAAGAATAGAGGATGTCTCAAAAGGCTTAGTGCAGTTTTAGCTTTAATAACTTCAGAAGTAGAAATGCTACACACACTTATTTAAGTTTAATTCTTTAAATGTCTTTTACCCTTAATTAGTTTCGTGAATTTGCATTAAAAAATTTTAAATGACTGAAACAAAATTTAAACATTCAAAATTCACAAAACTAAGAGACAAATATAAAGAATTAAACTTTCAAATGATGGTTTTAAATACGTTTGTATCATTTCTACTTCTGAACTTACTAAAGCTAAACTAAGTCTTTTTGGAGACTTGGTATTTAAGAAAGGAAAAAAGAGACTTGCTGTGTAGAATGGTTTTGATACTTGATATGGTCTAGGCCAGTCTGTAGGGTAAGAGGTGGACCTCTGAGGACTCCTGCAGCAATTTGACCTTGTGTCTAGGTTTCAAGGTGCAAAACTTAACCGCGTACAAATTCAAGAACGAAGTAACATGTTACCTGTAAAATACCCAGGATAGTGTAATTTGCGATATGCAAAATAACCAGTCATAGCTACTATAAAGATACACACATTGTGCGGTGTTAGCATGGATGATCTTTGTTGAAATACATTGTGGTCTAAATTCTTTGACGAATAAGTAAGGAGTGAAGTTCATCTGCCAGTGCAGGGTTCAGACGACAAGCCTTGAAACCAAAGAGAGTCGGATATTTAGATACATTCTCATTGTTTGGGTCTTTCTTCTTTTTTTTTTTTTCTCTTTTTTGATTCGTTTTTAAGAATAGTACAGTAAATTTCAAGGAAATTTGTTAAGATACTTTCTATTCTGATGTCCTACTTTAACCTCTGCAGAATGGATCAATTTGAAAAACATTTTATCAGTGCCAAGAATCAAGGGAACTTAAGCACCAATGATGGCATTGTATGTCATGAATTATTAAGATAAGTAAAATGGAAAGCATTAACATTTGGCCTCAAAGTTGTTATGATCTCCGTATGTGAATAACAGCATCTGTAATAATCTTATTTTAAAATATATAGCTAAAATAGTCTTACGATGTCTAAACAGTGGCAAGGTGCATAATTTCTAGACTGACAACAATGCGGGACAGAGCTCTCATCCAAACCTCACTCTGTGCAGAAATTGTCCCTTCCGTAGCCATGACAGTTGGTCACTAGGTGTTTGCTTGTGTGCTTCCAGTAGCAGGAAGTTGCCACCTTTAGAGAAAACCTGTGTTTTTGTTTGTTTCCTGAATTGTTGTGTTAGAAAACTCGCCCTTATTTTAGGCTGGTATTTCTCTCCATGCACTCTAGAATCCTTGAAGGGTCCTAACAGAATACGTAATGCTGGTTTCACAGAAACCTAAGACTCCAGGAAGTTGGAGTCTCCCTGCCTGATGGTGGCAGAGCTGAGAGCAGGCCTGGGTCTGTCACCTCGAGGTCCCAGTTACCATCTTACAGCCTCACCGTCTGCCATAACACACTGCCTGCCATGGGCTCTGATTCCGCTCCCTCCCCACCTGTTCCCTTCCTGTGGGACACTGCCGGTCCAGTGAAGGCCACTGTCAGGACCCCTCGTGTCCTTTTGCTCTGAGAGAGAAGGTTTCTGTTCTTATATCAAGCCTCATGTGACATCATTCCAGACCCTTCACTGCCTCTAAATTACCTCCATTTTATCGGTATCCCCAATGGCCCAAACTGACTCCAGTATCCTCGATGCATATACTAGAGTTCTAGAGTACAGTATCCTAGATGCAGAGTAATGGGGCTATTTTCTCCCATCATATGGAAAATCATTCTCAGATTGGAATCTCTTTTGCTTTTTTTTTTTGAGATGGAGTCTCACTCTGTTGCCTAGGCTGGAGTGCAGCGGCACAACCTCCGCTCACTGCAACACTCCTCCTCGCGGGTTCAAGCAATTCTCATGCCTCAGCCTCCCGAGTAGCTGGGACTACAGGCACGCGCTACCATGATGGGCTAATTTTTGTATTTCTAGTAGAGATGGGATTTTGCCATATTGGACAGGTTGGTCTCAAACTCCTGGCCTCAGGTAATCCTCCCACCTCGGCCTCCCAAAGTGCTGGGATTACAGGCCTGAGCCACCGTACCTGGCCTTGTTTTGCTGCTTTATGCAGGATGACTATATACCACGTTTCAAAATATGTTTGACTAGAGTTTTCTAAGGATATTAAGGATAGGATAGAACCTGAAATCAGCTTGGTTTGGAAATTGGTATAGTACAGAGAGCATTTTTTTTTTGAGACGGAGTCCCAGGCTGGAGTGCAGTGGTGTGATCTTGGCTCACTGCAACCTCTGCTCCCAGGTTCAAGCAATTCTCCTGCCTCAGCCTCCCGAGTAGCTGGGATTACAGGCACCTGCTACCACACCTGGCTAATTTTATTTTTCAGTAGAGACGGGGTTATTTAGTATTTTTAGTAGACACTGGGTTTCACCATGTTGGTCAGGCTGGTCTCGAACTCCTGACCTCAATGATCTGCCCGCCTCAGCCTCCCAAAGTGCTGGGATTACAGGCATGAGCCACTGTGCCCCGCCAGTACAGAGAGCATTTAAATGAAAAAAGTTAGACAACCGTTATTCATATGAAGAATGGAGTAGAGGTAAATATCTTAAAGGTATCAGTTGCATTTGGCTGTGTGCTGTGTGTCTGTGTGTTAATATGGCTTTGATGCTCTGGAAGTTTTAATTTTAAAGTAATTTAGGGTTCCCAAATTTACCTGACATTGGAATCCCACGGGGAGCTTCAACAAATATGCTTCTGTCTCCTTGAGACCATGATTGAAATTTTCTGAAATAAGGCCTGAACTTTGGAATTTGTAAAAGATCCTCGGGTGATTTTAACATGCAGAGAAGCTTGGGAACCACTGCGATAATATCAGAGTCAGCCAAGGGACTGAGAAGACTGTTCCTTCCCTTGTTCCCCCACTCAGGCTGAGCGATCTGTGCACTACAAACACTGCTCTACCAAGTCTGCTACGATGTAATTCTAATTTTGACTCATGGATGTGATGGCCCAGCTTTTTGGGTTTTCTTTAAAAAAAAAATCCAAACTTAGTATTCATAATGATCTCCTTTACCGCCCCCCCACCTCCGCAACTGCCACAGCCCTTGCTTTTTAGTTTTTAGTAGTTACTTTGAGATGTGAAATGCATTTGGGATCTAAATAAATTGATCACGCGGATTAAAATATGAAAGGCTTATTTTCACTGACTACCTCAAGCTCAAGAATATCCCTCCTGAGTGGGGTAGATGTCATGCTCAAAAAAACCTTTAAACCGTATTTCATTACCGTACTAGAATGAACACATAGGTTCACACTTTTTCTAGATGAAAGACAAACTGTTCAGCTTTAAGGTCTTAGTGCTGGGCCTTAGGCTGCAGATAGCAGCAGAATGAAAGAGTAATTTGCATCAAAATAGGGCTTTTAATCATTTGAGCTAAATTATGCTAATAAGAATCTGACAATTGTCTGCAAACAATCTGCATGTCTGACAGCGTCTCTGTAGACAGCGGTTATCTGCACAGTAATTGAGTAGAAGAAACACTAATCCGTAAAACCCTTCAAGTTGCAACTAAAGCCTGGCAGTTTCTCTTTGGGTGAACTGATATTTTGTTCTAACGCTTACTTTAGAATAATAGTGCTTAGCCGTTGCTTCGTCCCTGGTGATGCCCAAGCCGAGCTGGAGACACCTTGCGTGGTAGAAGGATGCCATTGCCATGCCTCTGCTGATGAACTCCGGGAGACAGTCTGTGACCTGGGCAATCATGGGGATGTCGTGCACCTCATCATAGTCAGCAATCCTGAGAGGACGTAGAGTGGTGAAATGGAAAAGGACATCAGTTATGGCGTAAGTGTTTGTAAAACGATGTGCCTAGAAACCGACCTTGTCCCCGAAGTGATTTCTCTCTACTGCTTTGAGAACTAAGTTGTTTGCTGCGTGGTGAAGGGTTCGTATAGCCAACTCATACCAGGAGAAGACGAGCTTACCCTAGTGGTGACTTTACATCGTCTCTGTAATTATGCTCAGCAGGCTCAATCACCATTAGAAAACAAAGGTATGTTTCTTTTTTCTTGTCATATTACTCTTGGAAGTTTAATGTCACTTTGTGGGTTTAAACTGCGTGGAGAAGAAAGCATTTTCCACTTCTCTGGATCACGTATGGAAACAGCCACCTTCAATTTGGACATTAGCCACATAGGACCAGAAAACCCTTTCACTAGCACGTCTTTAAAAACGGACAAGGGAAAGAAGTCATCCTTTATACCCAGACACAAATACGTAGAATCGTGTGAGCATGCGATCCAGTCACCTCCACGTTAACCACAATGTTAATGGAGTAGGAATGTGGGAAATAATGGAAAACGCCAAAGATTTTAAAGAATGATTTAAAGCTTTAGTTCTAACTAAGACGGATACTTGCTTTGAGATATTGGCAATCACTCCTGTAAGTGGTCTGCTGCCTGGAGCCGGAGACGCTGGGGACGCGGGTAGAAGCAGCCCCTCCCTCCCCTCATCCTCTTGTAGATCACTGCCCTGCACTAGGGCTCGGAGAGAGGGGAGACCTGGCGCTGTGGGAAGGGTGTGACTGGGAAACACGAGCACACGCAGAGTCTGATGGACACTCCAGAGTACACCCAGGTCTGTGTCCCCGACACACTGCTTTTATACACTGGGTAAAGAAGTGTAGGAAAGTACATGGAGCCTTACAGACTCTGGGAAAAGACGTTTTTGTATATTTTATTAGATATAGTCTCAGTCTTTTCACCATATTCTCATGTTCAGTTGTTATGGAGCTATATTTAGTTGTGCAGTTATAGAACTGCATGGCCGAGGAGCGCAGGAAGAAATGAAGACGTGATAAACGTGTGATATGCCAAGCTGTGTTAAGTACACTATTATGATCCTGCTATAAAGGTATTCTCTTCTTACACATAAAGCAATTGCTTCTTAAGCAACTTGCTTCAGCTAGTAGCACTGAAATCTTGAAGGCTAATGGCTTAGAATTGTGCTATCCAGTATGGTAACCACTAGCCATATGAATATTTCTGTTAATTACCATGTAAAAGTTTAGTGCTAAGTTGCATTAGACACATTTCAAGTGCTCAGTAGCTACCGTTGCTAATACCGCAGAAAGCTCTGGGAAGGGTTTGGCATAGAACATTCTCAGGCATTCTTGTCAATGCTTTCATCCAGTTTATTCCAACACTACTGCTAGGGTTTGAATCAAGTTCCCTCCAAAATCCCAGTGTTGCTAGTGTGATCGTATCAAGAGGCGATGAGGCCATGAGAGCACCTCCCTCATGAATAGGACGAAAGCCCTTTTTATAAAAGAAGTTTCCTGTAGCTTTCCGCTGTCACGTGAGGACGCGATGGTCCTCCCCTCTGGAGGTTGCAGCCCTCACCAGACAAGCACACCTACCTTGATCTTGAACTTCCTGGCCTCTGGAACCGGGGGAAATAAATTTCTGTTTCTTAATACCTAGTGTGTGGTATTCTGTTACAGCAGCACAAAACAGACACAGACATTCACCTTTTAGAAAATGCAACACACTTTGTAAAAAATTTCATCTTATAGTAATACTCCACGAGATTCCCTTGAGCATAGACGTTTCCGCGTTCTGCTGCTTCTCTTAAGCAATGCAGGGCAGCCTCCGTATCCTGCCGGATGCCTTGTCCGTACAAGTACATGAGCCCAAGTGCACCCTGCGACTCCAGATTTCCATTGCCACATGCTTCTGAATGCCAGTAAAATGCCTAAGAAAAGCACAGTTTCATCATTGTATTTGTGATCCACTAGATGAACTTATAAGGGAATACTAGACAGAAATCTGTGGCTCCTAGATAGCACTATTAATCATCTCTAGGAAAGAGCTGTAGGCCTTTGGACGCGTTTCACACTAGCACACATGCCTAACGCTGTGTGGAGGTGAGTTCCTCCGCCGTCTCTCCGCAGTGCAGATGAGGTCACAGTCCAGACAGCTTATGGCTGAGAAGGAACAGCTGTCCTAGGTTTCAGGATTTGGGGACCTTCCAGAGTAGGGATCAGGAAGGTGCCAAATAGGAACTAAGTGTCTGAAAGGCATGTGGCCAGCGGAGGAGAGGAGACTGCTGATGGTGAGGGAGAGTTCGAGCTCCCTGTGGATGCTAGAGATGGCAGCTCCTGTGATCAAAGACAACCGCAGATAAACGCTGTATGTAGCCTCAAGCACATTTGCCTCATACTCCGCTACAGTGAATTTGAACTCGTTTACAAAATTCCAGGTGGCTGCTCATCTATCCGAAGATGGCCTTACTTGTGATATGCCTCTTGCAAACTTGCCGTTAACTCCTCTCTTACAAGTAGGACTCGGCCCCCATTTCCTTCTCCCTATAGGATTTTTTTGGAAACTGTTTCAACCATGGATGAAAGATTGTATTTCTGTGAAAATCTTAGATGGACTTTATTTGTAACTAACTCTTAGTATATTTTATTTATTAGTATCAATTGTTTCTCAAGTCACTGCCAATACTCATCTATTCATGATTAAAAGGATTTTGGCCGTAATTTCAGGACTGTTTCTCTTCTTTTAGCTTTGATACTATAGTATACAAAATACTCTCACATTCATGGTTTCCTTCGATAGAGGTAGGGAAGGGGACATTTATAAATAAAAGGGCTTTGAGATCCTAAAATGTACACTTCCTTTACATTTTAAGGAAATATAAGAGAGATTTAAAACAACATTCCCCACCATTTTCTCAAAAAAAGTAGTGAAACAAATATTAATCTAAATATAACACTGGCATTAAAAAAGAGGGGCATGTCACCTTTTCTAACTCCTTGGGCTCCTTGGTTGAGTAATACAGCCCGAGCATACTTTGAGCCTTCACACTAGCTTTGGGATTTCCATTGTCTGCTGCGAAAAGCCACAGTCTACGAGAAAGCAGGCATGTTATTCTTGGTTTCGGCATTCCATTCAAACCTAATCTTGTTCCCAGGTAGGATTACCTTTCGGCTTCCTCATTTGATCGTTTAACACCTTTTCCTTCATAATAAGCTCTTCCGAGGTTGTAAGCAGCTGCAAATTTTAAGTGTCTTGCTTTGGGACATGGAGAATCAAGAATTTTCTTCATGTAGTCCACCCCTTTCTCCTTCGACAAAAGAAAGAACAAAAAAACCCTAGTTTTTAGTTTTACCCAAACTGAATTTCTTTCTCCCAATAAGGCTGTGAAGTGTCCACCCTCTGACATGATGTGTAATACTATGAATCTGTGCCCAAGAGTTACGACTGTCCTGGATCCTGCCGGGCAAGCAATAAGGACGAAAAGAATCTCTAAAAGTACATTTCCTATCCAGGCACTCCCAGGAGCTCTGGGATATAAGAAATTTCCTTCCGTTTACAGCTGCCTGAGTGGATTTAAGTCTCAATATGGGCTTTCTTTTTTCTCTCCTCCCTCCCATCTAATAACCCTTATCCTGAATCAGCACAGTTCTTAGAACTGACTAAAAGGCAAGCATGGCCTGGAACTTCTTTCACATTTATAATTCTTACAATACACTTGTGAGCCCCTAACAAACACCATCTTCCATTCAAGCATACTTTTACTGCGTGCTCATAGTTTGTATCTAATATACAAATCTTACGCATTAATACAACATCTGCTTTGTGGTCACAAGGAAAGCATAGAAGATATTCTAACCACTAGCAGGAACAGATCTGCACCCTCCACCCCCAGATCCATCAGACACAAACCTTCAAACATCACCCAAAAGAAGAAAATAATACTGGACAATCAAATATATTTTGATTTTTGTTTGAGACAGAGTCTTGCTCTGTCACCTAGGCTGGAGTGCAGTGGCATGATCTTGGCTCACTGCAGCCTCCCAGGTAGCTGGGAATACAAGCATGCACCACCACGCCAGGCTAATTTTTGTATTTTTAGTAGACCCTGGTCAACATGGTGAAATCCTGTCTCTATTAAAAATACAAAAATTAGCCAGGCATGGTGGCAGTGCCTGTAATCCCAGTTACTCTTAAGGCTGAAGCAGGAGAATCACTTGAACCCGGGAAGTGGAGGTTGCAGTAAGCCGAGGTCGCGCCATTGCACTCCAGCCTGGGTGACACAGCGAGACTCTGTCTCAAAGAAAAAGAAAAAGTATTAAAATATAATTTTAATTGTGTCCAACAATCCACTGACAATGAAATCTTACCCACTGTGACCAAGACACTAACTTACAGAATTTAGAATGGTCCCCAGCCCATCATAGTACATCACTCCTAGCTGGTAAGTTGCTTGATGGTCTTTCTCCTCGATTTCTTCAAACTGTTCTAATGCTTCTTCATACCATCCCTAGAAGCGCCCAGAAGATATTGAATTATTTTTATTATGATCTTTAATCCCAAAGGCATCAAGTGGCCAACTGTTTCTGCCCAAGTTAAACACACAGTTAACAAGCAGTGCAGCCACGTCCGAACCCATGCCCCACGCTGACGAAGCACGCTGTCTGCCATGGCGCTCTGCCATCCTCAGAGTGACAGGTGCACAATGAGCCCTCAGCAAACATTTGTTGCCAGGATAGATGAAGGTGCCGT